ATTTGCATTAACAATTTCACATTAAATGGTTCACGATTTCTCATTAAGTAGGGTCCGATTTTGAGCACAAATAGAATGTAAGCAGCCGTGAGTGCAGTAACTTGTACTTGTGAACCCACAATTGGTAAGTTTGTTGTTGCTTTGACTAATATAAAATATGATTATTAAAAAAATTCACTTATTTTCCAAGTTGGGTTTTGATTACCGGCGTATCGTTCGTCCCATTCTTTAATTTGTTTAAAAATATACGATATTATCAGAAACATTGTACTCACTGTTGGACTTAATATGTTGAAGATCTAAACCGAACTGTGAATATTTTCTGAGCTACAATATATTGTCTTTGATAAGCCGAAATATACCGAAAGTTTTTTGTAAATAGTGTGTGACCTTTGCTATTTGTGCGTACACTTAGTATTTTTAAAGTTTCTTTTTAAAAAGTTTTACATACTCATACATACAATAGAGTAAACATGAGAACATCGTTAATATATTAGTTACATATTACAGGTAAGTAATAAAAGGCATGCCTCCGGGATAGCGGACATAGAGCAATTTGTCAATCTCAGTTGCCGCAAACTTTCACATGACACAACTACATAATTATCTGGTGCCCACTGTATAAAAAACTAAAATACGTACAATACATTGTGACCGAAAAGCTTTCGGAAATTCTCATTTAAAATTCGCGCGCTGTATATTTTTCGATATTTTAAGTTTATGTAGTTTTGGCAGCACTGTCCTTAATTACTATGCCAAAAATGAGCGCGATCTGTCGGACAGTTCGTTTACGGCAGCTGTTGAAACCAGTTCACCTCAGTAGTGCGTTGCGAAAAAAACAATGGAAAAAAATATTGAACAAAGAGTTTGCATCAAATTTTGTTTTTCGAACGAAATTTCGTGTGCAGAATCGTTGCGAATGCTACAAAAGGCTTATGGGGAATCAGTTTTATCGAAAACTCAAGTTTATGAGTGGTACAAAGCCTTTCAGGACTGTCGTACGACCGTCGAAGACATGCCGCGTTCTGGACGACCTTCGACCTCTACCACCGACGAAAACATTGAAAAGGCAAAGGAAATCGTGTTCAAAAATCCTCATGTGAGTGTTAGAGAGATAGCACGAGAGCTAGGCATCGGTCGTGAGATGGCTCGTTTGATTTTGGTGGACAATTTGTGTATGCGACGTGTCAACGCCCGGCTTGTTCCGATTCACCTCAATTTGTTCAACATTATCAACGATTTTAAGGCCAAACATTCAATAAATACCATCGAACAGCCACCGTATTCACCTGATCTTGCACCGTGTGACTTTTTCCTGTTTCCCAACCTCAAATTACCACTCAGAGGAACGCGTTTTGAATCCATAGAAGACGTAAAACAGAATTCGCAGAGGGAACTCAAAGCCATACCGGAAAGCGCCTATAAAAAATGTTTTGATGATTGGAAGAAACGTTGGCATTTGTGTATCGCTTCTAATGGAGCATATTTTGAAGGAGATAAAATAAATATTGATGAAGATTAAGAATTTTGCGTTTTATTTATTTATTTCCGGAAACTTTTCGGTCACAATGTAAGTTATAAACTCAAGGCGGATTTTTGGTACTTTTGCGTAAAATCAGTCGCCAGGGAATCCTCACTAACAAAAGAAAGGATACAATGAATGAAAGGAAGCGTCTATTAAATTGCCTGAAGTTTATAATATCTCTAAGGCCATTATTTTTTTTAAAGAGTTAAACGCACTGTAATATAATATATGTATTGCGTAGAGCTTTGATCTCTAACAGTGTATGCTTAAGCTTTAGGCTAACGTGCCTACCATCAGGGAAATGTAATGTACTGGATGATTCTATTCCAAATAAACAATCTGTGATTTCCGTCATGCGGTTATATATCATAGTTGTAATAAACTTATAAACGTGGTCCGGTGCCTTACTCTACTGAACGAAATATTTGCTACTATTTTTACCTAGGATACTTTTATTTTCTTCAATTTGAAAAGAACGATCATAGACGTCTTCTGCGTAGGTCTCAAGAAAATGTATTATTCATTCGTGATAGTAGAATTATTCTCTGGGTTTGCACCCACAAGTTAAAATAGATTTAGTTATTGAGCCAATGGTCGGAAAATTCAGCCACTATGAATCAACTAATACTTAATATGTAGACAGTGTGAATTGTTGATCAGCTATTTGAGTGCCGTTAGATTGGAAAATGTTTCTATTTGAGAGAACCGCCTAAAAAAAGAAAATATGTTGCATCTAAACATGAAGACTAAACATTAGTTTAAAATTTCTAAACAAAATACATTTAATTTTTTATTTGTTTTCTTATACCCGTATATTTTTCTAAATTCCTATATACTACAATTTTCAGTATTTCTAAGAAGTTTTTATAAGCTTCTCTGCATTGTCCTTTGCACTTTTCTTAAAGTAAGTTTTAATATAAAATTTACTAAATAATTTGAGCAGTACTATCGTCTGTGATACCCCTAAAAGAAGTAGACTTAAAGGATATGTACATCCTTTAACGATAAGTAATGGCCATAACTGATGGATTATTATTATAATAAACTGGAAAATTTGAGCTGTAGTAATAAACCGTTTCCACTTAGAAGCTTTAATGTTTGCATTTGAAGCACTCAAAAAATAATAACTATACATAAACACATGTAGAAATATGTTGAGATCTCCGAAAAAGTTGTGGTGACCACCAGTGACATAATAAAGTGTAACTATAGTCGTTTGTTTGAAGCTTTTATGCAACACAAAAAAAATTGTGTCCATATAGTCGGTTACTTTAACGAATGCATATAAATAGGTCAAATGGACTTCTCATGACTTCAATCTATATGCATCTGGTAAGCTTGTTATATAGCCGGATGCACATAGAAAACATTTTTTTATGTTTCTAATTATTCTTCTGCAGAATTCTTTTAAAAAATTATTATCTGCCTTTGGTAATAAAAAATATAGGATCTACCATATATAAAGAAGTTATATAAATTGGAGATCCGGATGATTGAATTTTGAAAGATATTATGGTTACGGCTAACTAACCGAACTTGTTTTTAATCATTAATGTCACAATAATTATAAAAATTATATGTAACAAAATACTGTGTAGAATAAAAAATATTTGGTGTTTTATCAAACTGTGTTCGTCCTTCCCCCATGTAATTCCCCCTCATAATTTAGTTTTTGAGCTGTCGAGCTTCAAATTGCGAATTTTTGCATAAGAATGATAATGGGATTTTATATTTAACTGGTTGCATATTTTTTTGATGTTACTACAAAAATTTTATAAAAATAGATTTACTTTTGCTAATATATAGTTGGGTAGAACTATTTTAAACAACTAAACCGTGATGTCTGTTATAGCCGCCATGAAATACCATAATGCCATGTTACTATCCGTATCTAGGCAACTTTATTTAACTCCATCCTAACTTATGTACACATGCTGATAGAATAAAAAAGACAATATGACCAGAAATCCCGAGTCTACAGGATATTTAAACCATTGACCCGCCTCGTGGATGTTAACACAAATATCAGATCGAGTTGTTGAGCTAACGGTCTAAAAATTCAGCCTATATGAATCTACTTCTAACAAGGGACTGAATCTGATGGGCTTTTTTGTAGTGCTCAGTATGATATATGTTGCAAAAGATTCATACACCACACTAAGAAAAATATGCTCTAACCACATATTAGTTCAATTGACTAGATAATTTTGTTAGAAAAATTTTAGCTTCTGTGTTAAAGAATATAGAGAAATCAACATGTGGTATGGTTGAATCAATATGATGAGTCGAGTTAGAATATTTTGACTTGAAATTAAGTAAACATCTAGTTAAATTAACCAAATTATTTTTCTGAGTGTACGATAATAAGAAGGCTACGTTGATGTTTTCTGGTTATTTAACACGAAATCCTATTAATCAGTGATTGATGACAAAAATATTTTTAGTATGCTAGATATACGATTGTTTAGTCGTCCAAATATCATACCCAGGATACGGATATGACTTAGTGTCTGTACATAGAAACAACTTATAGCCGCCAAGCAATCAATCATTGATAATACTTAACTCTTCTGCCGTTCAACTCTTTTACCAATTGAATAACTAATTTTCCCATTCCGATATTGTTGGCAGACAGTGAGCATTGAAAATAATTATCAATACATAGATGTCTCTAGGGAATATCTGTACATCAATATTTCTTGGTTTTTTTTTTTAAATACTCAGAATGGTATTACATTTTCACCGAATGTATTTTTTTGACAATCAGTTGGACAGAATGCTTAGGAATTGCACGCCTACACACGATATTTCAATTATATATATATTAGATACATATATTATAATGTTAGAATGTAATTTAATTTATTGCAATTTACTTCGCTCTTACATGAGAAGGCTGTTTTTCTATGAGTTTAATGACTTCAAATTGTAACGAAACAAATTGATATTTTGATCAAAATCGTTTTTGATTACGGATGTAATTGTATATTCTGCGCGGATCAAATAATTTGATCCATTTCGCATAGGGTTGCGATTAGAGAATAGTATAAAATTTTTTATTGTCTCTGGTAATTATTCCTCATAAGTTTCGAGTCAGGCAAAGTTGTAGTAATGTTTTGCGTTTAGGTTGAGGGTAACGAATATTGTGCGACTATATTTTGGTAAGGTTTATCGTATTAAAATTACAGTAAAGATTCTTATACTACAATATGACATAAGCTTATCCTGATCCAGAATGGGTGCTGTAAATAATTATTCAAGTATGATTGATATATGTACAATAAATCATGCCACAAGCTGATAAAAGATAACAAACTCTACATTTTCTAAGGTGGATAGGTAGTTCAAAGATCAACTTTGAGTTTTTTGCTTTGAATGTGAAAATATTTTTAATGACATACTTACTAAGGCAAAACTGAGTCTTACAGCCTCATATTGAGCAACTCTGTAAATATTTGTTACTGAGCATTTATTTCATTTATTATTACTTACTTAAACTAACATTCATTAATAATGTCAATTAATTATCATTGATTTTCAATTAAATTAAAAAATGTTCGTACTAGAAGAGGACCCTCTAAAAAAAGAAGATATAAACAGAATACGCTGAATTTATTTATGGATGTCTCCATACTTACATTTACGTGGTTTTTTTATAATTATCTCCATTGACTTTAGTATTTTTCTTAATGTAAGTTTTATTGTAAAACTTACTAAATAATATGAGCATTATTGTCGCTTGTGATAAACTTGAAAAAAGAAGAATCACTGGATACGTACATCCTTTAACGATAAGTAATGGCCATAACTGATGGACTATTATTATAATGAATTGGACAATTTGAGCTGTAGTAATAAACCGCTTCCACTTCGATGTTTTAATATTTGGATTAAAAGCACTTAAAAAATAATAACTATACATTACAGCATGTATAAATGCGTTGAGATTTCCGAGAACGGTGTGATGGCCACCAGTACCATAATAATGTACAACCATAGTTGATGAAAGAACCATTAGAACATGATGATAAACGTGTAGAAAAGTTATCTGTTTAAAGCTTTTACGCAACACAAAGAATATTGTGTCCATATAGTCTGTAATTTTAATGAAACAATATAAGTAGTTCAAATGTGATTCGAGTGGCTTCAATCTATGTATATTTGGTAAGCTTGTTATGCAACCAGGGTTATGATGATCTGGTACCCAGAGAAGCCGTGAAGCCTGAAAAATAATAATCCTTTATTGCTGCGGAAATGTCATTTCAATTTAATTTACCATAAATCCCATATAAAGATTTATAAAAACTTGGAAAACATTATAGACTTGCATTAACAATTTCACATTAAATGGTTCACGATTTCTCATCAGGTAGGGTCCGATTTTGAGAACAAATATAATGTAAGCAACCGTTAGTACAATAACTTGTACTGGTGAACTAACAATTGGTAAGTTTGTTGTTGTCTTCACTAATATAAAATATAATTATTAAAAATCACTTGGTTTTTAAATTGGGTTTTGATTACCGGCGTACCGTTCGTCCCATTCTTTAATTTGTTGTAAAATATGCGATATTATCGGAAACATTACACTCAGTGCTGGACTTAATATATTGAAGAACTAAACCGAACTGTGAGTACTTTTTGATATGTAAAATTTCGCTTTAATGCGTTAAGCTTATTACAGGAAGCGACCTTTACTATGGGTTCGTATAATAAAAATTTTTATAATTTGTATTTAAATAAATTTAAATAAGTGCATTGGTATAAGTTTGTGACTTTATTATGCATTTTTGTACACTTTTCACAATGACTCAGTATTCTTATTACTTCGTGGCATTGTTTGTAACATGTTTTTAAAAAGAATAATATGAATTAGTGATTGAATTAGAATTAAAAAATTAAAACCTTATATAAAACTATTAAATTATTGTTTCACTGATCATTCACAGAATTTTTTTAAAAAATTATTATCCGTCTTATCCATACATACATATAAATATGTTATATCTATCCTAAAGGGTTTCAAAAATAATCATTTTTGCCAATAACTTGGAACCTCTTAGTCTTTTCGATAAAATTTTACGGCATATTATCAAATTGTTGGTAATATTAAAGTAACGATATGAAACATTTTCAGTGTGTTAGATGTATGATCGTTCAGTTGTACAAATATCGCAGCCAAGATATGGATACGATTTAGTAACGCCAAAAACACACGTTCCTGTACACAGAAATAACTTATACTTGCCAAGCTGTAATCATTGGTGATATTTTACTCATCTGCTTGTCAACTCATCGTTTAACTCTATTTCTATTTCCATAGTTTTGGTAGACAATGCGGATACATCTCATCGCTTTCACAATGTTTCAGAAGATGTCATTTGTTGTGGTGCGATGAGAAGTGTTGAAAGACTAATGCTGCAAAGAAATGATTTATAAAACGACCTTATGGTCAGCAGATATGAGTACTATGCACGAACAATATCGGTAAATAAAGAAGAGAGGTGCTTCTTTAAACAAAAGAACGAAATCAAGAAAAGCACAAGAAAAAAGGAACAGTCTTAGCAGTTATAAGGGTAAAATGTCGAATTCAAAGAAAAAAGTGATGCCAATAGTCATATAGAAATTAATTACACCCTAAAATGTAATTAAATATAACATGAAACTGATTTTTTCAAATTTTAAATAAAATAATATTATTAATAATATTATTTAATTTGTTTAAAAGTTATTAAGTACAAAATAATCTATTATCAATCTATTATAAATCTATAAACATATCTTTCGTAGGCTTTAAAGTTGGGTCTTTAGTATGCAATTCACATATAATTAAGTTCGATCTAATTCTTCATACAATTTGTCATAAGCTAAGTGAGTTATAACCTCGTGATTTAATAATAATATCTTTGCGATTTGACTTTTCCTTGTTATAGCAATTTTTATGTATGTGATATATACTATAATGTTAGGATGTGATTTAGCAGATTGCAATTTACTTCTCTCTTAAATAAAAGGGTTGTTTTTATGAGATTCATTTTTACCAATAATGCTCCATCGTCGATATAGTAACCATCAAGGACGACATATTACAGCTCTGGACACAGACTTTCATACATAGTCATCAAACATTTGCTTTCATAACTGTTTGAATTTATCATAATATAACATGTAGTACAGCTTCTTTGAAACCGAAACTTATCTAGAGAATGTTCCTACATTTTCTAAGACAGATAAGTAGTTCAAAGATCAACTTTGTTTTTTGTGCTCTGAATGTGAAAATATTTCTAATAACAAACTAAGGCAAAATATTTGTTACTGAGCATGTATTTCAATTATTATTACTTACTTAATCTAACATTAATAAATAATGTCAATTAATTATCAATTGAGAGGACCTTGCAAGACAAGAAGACCTAGTATATCTAAACATGGAAATTAAATATTATTTTAAAATATATAAACAGAATATGATAAATTTTTTGACGTATATTTAAATACTAGTATTATAACAATTTTCTGAATAATTACGTAGTTTTTTTGCTAATGTTTTGATTGGCTTTAGAATTTTTCTTAATGTAAGTTTTAATATAAAATTTACTAAATAATATGAGCATTACTATCGCCTGTGACAAATTTAATAACAGTAAAAACTTAGAATACGTACATTCTTTAACGATAAGTAAAGGCCATAACTGATGGATTATAACTATAATGAACTGGACAATTTGAGCTTTAGTAATAAATTTTTTCCACTTAGAAGTTTTAATGTTTGGATTTAAAGCACTCAAAAAGTAATAACTATACATAATCACATGTACAAATGCGTTGACATCTCCAAAAAGATTTTGATGGCCACCAGTACCGTAATAATGTGTAACCATAGTTGTTGAAAGAACCATTAGGACATGATGATAAACGTGCAAGAAAGTTATCTGTTTAAAGCTTTTACGCAACACAAAGAATATTGTGTCCATATAGTCGGTTACTTTAACGAATACATATAAATATATCATATGGCCTTCGAATGACTTCAATCTATGTGTATCTGGCAAGCTTGTTATGCAACCAGGGTTATGATGATCAGGTACCCAGAGAAGCCTTAAACCCTGAAAAATAATAATAATGCTTTATTGCAGCGGAAATATCATTTTTATTTAATTTACCATCACTCCTAAATAAAGATTTATAAAAACTTGGAAAACATTATAGATTTGCATTAACCACTTCACATTAAATGGTTCACGATTTCTCATCAGGTAGGGTCCGATTTTGAGGACGAATATAATGTAAGCAACCGTTAGTACAATAACTTGTACTGGTGAACCCACAATTGGTAAGTTTGTTGTTGTCTTCACTAATATAAAATATAATTATTAAAAAAATTCACTTATTTTCCAAATTGGATTTTGATTACCGGCGTGTCGTTCGTCCCATTCCTTAATTTGTTGTAAAATATGCGATATTATCAGAAACATTACACTCAGTGTTGAACTTAATATATTGAAGAACTAAACCGAACTGTGAGTACTTTTTGATATGTAAAATTTCGCTTTAATGCGTTAAGCTTATTACAGGAAGCGACCTTTACTATGGGTTCGTATAATTAAAATTTTTATAATTTGTATTTAAATAAATTTAAATAAGTGCATTGATATAAGTTTGTGAATTTATTATGCATTTTTGTACACTTTTCACAATGACTCAGTATTCTTATTACTTCGTGACATTGTTTGTAATATGTTTTTAATAAGAGTCATATCAATTAGTGCATGATATATTTTTATTTATTTATACATCAAGCAAGATGTAAAACTTATATTGTTATACAAAATTTATAGGGGTTCGAATAGCAAAGAAAGAAAGAACAAACACAAAAATTTAGTTAATTTATTGAAATTTGGCTGACCATAAACGCTGTTTCGAGTATTGTCAAGTACTCATCATCAGTGGTCTTGGGAAATATTCGAATTTCTTAATTAGTTTATAGTCCGTACATAATTTGTTTGGACGGCAAGTGCCGGGCTTAGAACTCGTGCCTGTCAAATTGGAAGCGATAACTAATCGATTTTTTTCATAAGTAGTCAAAGCTACAGAAACTTACTCAGCAGAATAAAATTCCGCAAAATTACTATTCTGCGGAATTCTATTATAAAATTATAATCTGCCTTTGGTCCATTCATACCTACTGATATATCCAAAAAATACAGTGTTTGGAAAATAATAATTTTTTTCAACAAATTGGAATCAGTTAGTCTTTTCGATAAAGTTTTACGGCATAATATCAAATTATTGGTAGTATAAAAGCAGCGATATGGATAGAGATATCTGTTAATACCGATCTTCAAATTTTTTAAATATTTCAAAATTTTTGGAATTTCAGTTAAACTTTCGGCTTTTGGCTTATGTCATATACTATAAAGTAAGTATACATAATAGATCACAAAACAAATAGCACAAATAGCACTTTTTTCACTGAAGGAGAGTTTATTGCTTTGAATTATAGCTATTGAGCTGTATGTTACATCAATATAGTTCTACTTAAATTTAAAGTGTTCATGTTTAGTTTAAAAGTTATTCTTTTTAATACAAGTTAAAAAGAAAGAGTGAAGTTTATATGTGTAAACTAACATCTAGAGTCAGAATGTACACGCAGTTACCAATATTGAATGTTTAATTACTATTACTAGAAATTTTTTAGAGTGTATTCAATTATTGATAGTGTTTAGAATTCAGTAATTTACATAGCAGAAATTCAAAAAATAAATAAATAATTAATTTACACAAATATATTAAGTATTCAAATTGAAACGTTTGTGTTTGCAAACTCGAATAATGATGACATGATTTAACCATGGAATTCATAGAAACTCAGAACAGTTTTTCAAGTTTTGAAGGAAGTTTTCGTATTAAATCTATTTGTCTATTTGTTATATATATAATTTTAATACTTTTAAAAACTAATTTGTTTTTGTGTCAATAAAAAACATTTATAAAGTTTGCTTTAAATTCATATATTTTTGCCTTTTAATTTATTGGCTCCCTTTACGTATGCTTTTCGATAAAAATTACCAAAAAGTATGAACATAATAATTCCTTGAAGCTCGAATAGCCACAATAATGTTCTTGGTGTCTCACAATTAGGTACAAATATTAATGTATACAAATTGTTTGAAAATATTAAAATAAATTGACATAACTGTAATAGAGTGATATATTTTTTCCACCAGATATTATTAGCAGTTTTTGGTTGCAATATTGAAATCAGGTAATATCCATACATAACACAATGTACAAAAGCGTTCAGTATTGCTACAAATAGTATTTGACTCATTTCGCCATACTTAGCCACATACAGCCAACCAGATATCACCATTATAGCATGATGATAAACGTGCAGGAAAGATATTTGTCGAAAGCTTTTCCGCAACACGAAAAATATTGTATCTGCAAAATCTAATACTTTTAAAAAGTAATAACCAATCATTAGGCACAGTTCCATCCGTTTCAGAGCATGATTCATGGGCAATGGTCTGATGCAACGCCAATCGTATGGCTTTTTCATTTGAATATAACCCGCCTATTAAAGTAAAATAGAAAGTAAATATACAATATATATATATATATTAATAGATCTTGCATCTTAATGTATACATCTTACCACTATAACTGTTAATCCATTAAGTAGAATTTGCAAAATATTGTAAGCTATAACTAGTTTTCTTACATTGAATGGGGAACGTTTTCGCATGAACGCAGGACCAATTTTCAAAACGAATAATAGATACGCAATACTTATCAGGCATATTGGTACAGGTGACTTGTTAATAAATATATCCGAAAATATTTCATCTGCAATAAAAACAATAACAATATTTATTAATATTATTTTTTGGTTAGGTTAGGTTAGGTTAAGAAGACGCGTGCTGATGGGTTATCAGCACTTCCACTCAGAGGCATATATTGCTCATTGTGATGCCCTCAAAGATTTTGCTGGAAATGGTGAATTGCTAACCTTTGATATCTTCGTCTACTATCCTTGATCTTTTATTTAAATGTTGTACATATTGAAAGTGTTATGCTATTAATATATAAACTATCAAATGTTTATTTACAACATTAAAGATACGATTATTTACAAGATAGAAAGAATTCTGTTTCAAATTGGGAAAAAGTGAAACAGAAATCAACAGAATGCTAAAAAGTATATATGGAAATGAATATAATTCATTGCTTTAGCGGGATTTCGAGTGCGACTAGACCATCTACAATTGGATAACTACACCAAAAATACGGTTTTGTTCCAACTGGCACTTCTTATACGTTCAAACCTAGACATTCATGATATGATTAAGTGAGTTTTGCTTTAAAATGTTACCACATAGAGCTCTCTAAATTCCGGCGAATACGTACGGTAGTACTGTAAAACAATTTTAGTACCGTTTTGTCATTTTATGGTACAGTCCATGCTTCTGCGCAATATCTAAAATGCCTATCAAGAGAAAGCTCTGTTTAATATTGATGAGTGCGGTCTTAAAATGATCAGAAGAGCCAAAGCAGATAAGATTTCGCTTTAAAAAGAGCAAACTCAAATTAATGATTGATTACTTCGATTGAGCGTAGATTGATCACAGTACATTCAAACCCATAAGGTTAGACTGTGGACAAAGAATGTTATTTGGAAGTTTCACAATAATTGTGAGATTGATTTGTTCTTGTTATTATAGTATCATGCATCATCGTATTTACTTGACTTGGCTTCTTTCTATTTGAATGGAATTTTTTTTTAACTAAAGTTAATAATCGTTTCGATACCATCCCGGTCTTAAAAAAAACTATATATCCCGAAAAATTTTTAAACGTTGCCAACGCTAAGTGGACTCCAGTGAAAATTATTTTAATTGTACAAGAACAAGAATAAGCTTTGTTTTCTTTTTTGTTTAGACTAGTCTCACTAAAATTTTATCAGTTTCTACAGTTTTCCTTTGTTTAGGAAGATAAAATAAATTTTTAATTTAATAAAGATACAGCATCAAGATTTACTTTGTTGATTAACATAATTCGCAAACGGGATCGTCTATGTTAAAATATCAAGCTTAGTAAAATGGAATTTCTGATATGTATTCATTCTTTTCCATTTTCGACTCCACGCTATTGTAAATTTCTCAGACAGCTAAGCTGCATTTAAATTTGTAGTAGGCGCTACAGTTACATCTTTTGTGGCCCCATGACGTCGAGCTTCAAATTGTTTACTTATCAGTATCCACCTCGTATAGGTACTTGGATATAGGAGCATCTTCGACAAGTGTGAAGCAGAAGAATTTTCTGAATTAGACACCATTTTGTCCGATATTCTTGGATGTTGCATTAAAATTTACAACAGTTGAACTGGAGATAAAGCGGTAAGATTCTTGAAGATATAGATAAAGACTTTTATTAGATCACAACACTTTCGTGGTCCAAATTGAACAATTCGCAGCAGTCAGCTACTTCAAATAAATTGTGTTTTAGGAAAGTATACAGTAAGAATTGCGTGACTTCTGAAGATGAGAAGATTTTACATATCTCATCTTCATTTTTTCTGCCAAGTATTTTTTTTAATATCAATTATTTATTTAATTTTAGAACAGTTTTCGTAACTTGAATTGTTTATTTTATAATTTTCAAAACATTTTTTTTAAAATGAATATAATTGTTTTTGGTACGAAAAAAGTTTCCAATCTTACGCAATTGAGATTTATTATTTTGATGAAAATACTCCTCGTACTCGGTTTTCATTTTTACACATGACTAACGACACGTTCCTCTCGATTCGGATTTTGTTATGAAGTGTCCCAAAAATTAAAGAAAATTTTATTAAGTATTATTTACTTAAATTAGTTAAACATTTAAATATAATGTAATAAATATACTCTAAATATTGTTTTTAGGGAATAAGAAGACATTACGTATCCCCTAAAACAATATTCGTATTATATATAAATGCAATAATTTTTGATAAGTAACGAAGGCTTGAGAAAAATAAGAGAGAAAAACGATTTTAATAATTTATTTCGTCGTCCAACTTCAAGTATTTAATTTGTGTTAGTTGAAGTGAAGGGGTTTCTGCGTATTGCACTTGTATGCAAGTGTATGTACGTGTGGATGAAGGTTATTTTGGATGGTTAATAACGGTTGATACGAGTGAATATATCTATTTCATTAATTTATTATTCTGACTCCAGCTTTTGTATTTTTTTTTTGGGTATATTTAATCGCATGGTACAAGATCGAGTGCGAGATCATTCAAAGCCCAAATTTATCATTATGATTTCTTTGACCATGTTTATATTAAGTAAGTTTTAATTATATAAATAAAAACTCGTTAAACAAAATAAATTTAAAATCATGTCTGAATATACCGACAATCTCAAAACCCTACAATCTTTTTGTCAAATCGTATTTTACCATTATGTAAGACAAAAAAAAAATTGAATTATTTGATTCTCGTGTTTATTTCCATTTAATTAGT